TTCGGGCCATTTTTCGTTTATTTCGGATTTTATCTTCATACGTCTTTCTCTGCCGGCACACTTGTTATCAGCGTCATTAAGATGGAAACGGCTCCTAAATGCTTCATCACTCATTTCTCTGAAAATTGATATTATTTATATGCGGAGCGGTATTTGAAACAAAAATAGAAGAAAAAAGTCGATGAGAGAAGAGGAAAGCTGGATCTGGTAAAACATCTGCGTCTCTATTACTTTGTGTACACAATCAAAACATTTGAATATTAGGGGAATATTTTTCAGGAAGCATGCGCTCCACCACACTGCTAAAATGACAGAGTTTTTAAGTCCTGGAAACCTAATCCCCCGCGACTTTTGGCGGGGACGGGCGGCGGTATTTGAAATTTAAAACCATTTTTTGATCTATTTTTTTTTAATAAAACTTTTATTTTCACAGTTTTTCGTCGGAAATAAAGTTTTATTGAAGAAAATAGATCAAAAAATGGTTTTATGATTCGAATACCGCTGCCCGCCCCCGCTAAAAGTCGCGGGGGACGAGGTTTCCAGGACTTAAAAACAGCCATTTTACCAGTGCTGTGGAGCGCATGCTTTCTGAAAAATATTCCCCTAATATTCAAGAAAGGTTTGATCTACCAGTGGAGTGATAAAAGGTCTGCTTTCCGAAGCAGAAAGAAGACGAGGATTCAGATAAATAAAGTTGCTTGAATGGCGAGAAGAGGGAAAAGGAAGAGCTGTGTCTCTCTTGTTGTAATCCCGAAACGTTTAAATAAATACGGAATCCATGAAACGTGAAATTTACGGATTTAAAAATCCGTAAAACCATAAAATTTCTCAAATTACTGTTTTTGGCAAGCATACCCTATTTTTTCAAATTTTTTCGCTATTTCAGGTATGTAATTTTCAACTCAATAACTAATGAATTTCAACTCAATAACTTAAAAATTATGCTTTGTCACACTTTTATCAAAAATCTCAAAATTCAATTTTCCAAATAGTTCTGTAAACTTTTCAAAAACCTCGGAAAAAACAATTTTTCCAAATTTTTACATTGAAATCTCAGAAAGTTACATGCTTAAAATAGTGGCTAACTTAAAATAATATTCTTTTTTTGCCAAAAACAGTCGGTTTATTAATTTTACGGTTTTTACGGATTTTAAGGATACAATTTTACGGGAGTCCGTAAAATATTACGGCTATTTCAAAATGCCGTGAAATCCGTAAAAACCGTAAACTTAAAATCCCAGCCCTGGTGAGGAAGCCCCACTTGGTTAGAAAGAAACACTTGGCTTGGTACCCTGACGCGACGTCCTCAAGCCCGTTAGAGTTCAAAAGGCCAAAGGTGAATGAAAAGAAGAAGACATAGGAAAACGGGATGAACATGAGTAAGAAAATTTCAGTTTGAATCAGAAAAAAGTGAAGTGAAATGAATGACCAGGGTTATTATAGAAAAATAGAATGAAAACGGAAATGACGGGATAACCGAGCAACTCACGCTTGAAACAAAAATTTTTTAATAGAGTTTTAATCTTTTTTAAATTAATTTTTTGACAGTGAAAAACCGATTTTCCGCCTGAAAAATCACAATTTTTTTCAAAAAAAACTCTCGAAATTTTTGAGAAAAAGTCATCGTTTCACGCATTCATATTCTAAAACGGGTAAAATTAAGCCATTGAGCTGAGAACTGGATCGACAAGGGTTCTTTCTGATAAACCCAGTCGACCCATTGCTTCAAGCGTTTTCTGAAACATATTCTGACAAAAACGGACGATACTGAACCGTGCAAGCTCAAGAACTGCATCGGAGAATCTTCCTTCTGTTACACCCAGTTGACACATTGCTCAAAGCGTTTTCTGAGCCAATTTTTGAGTAAAATGGATACTGTTGAACCGTGAAAGCTCGAGAATCGCATTGGAATGTCTTACTTTTGATACACCCAGTTGACACACTGCTCCAGGCAATTTTTAAGCCATTTTCTAAACAAAACGGATACTGTTGAACCTGAAAGCTTGAGAATCGCATTGGAGAGTTTTGTTCATCTGTTATGTTCAAGAACTGGCTTAAAAATCGCCTGAAGCGGTATGTCAACTAAGTGTATCAGAAGGAAGACACTCCAATTCAATTCTTGAGCTTGCACGGTTCAGTATCGTCCGTTTTTGTCAGAATATGTTTCAGAAAACGCTTGGAGCAATGGGTCGACTGGGCTTATCAGAAGGAACCCTTGTCGATTCAGTTCTCAGCTCAATGGCTTCATTTTACCCGTTTTAGAATATAAATGCGTGAAACAACGACTTTTTCTCAAAAATTTCGAGAGTTTATTTTTAAAAAATTTTATTTTTCAGGCGGAAAATCTATTTTCACTGTCAAAAAATTAATTTTCGGAGTATAAAACTACTTTTCACCAGTATTTTTATGCAAACTCCGTTTATCGTAACCAAAAATGCTAAATTTTATTCAAAATGTCTCAAAATGTCTACAAAAACAGATAAAATTCAGATTTATCGTTTTGAAAATGATGTTTTTCTTCTTTCCTCCTCGTAAATCCACAAGAGCCGCGGCCACAAAGCGTGTGTTAGGCCATCTCAGCTAGTCCGCGCCAGTTATTTATAAGTAAATCGAAACGGACGAATACGTTATTTTCAAAGCAAAAGCGACACTCATACAAATATCTCATGTTTAGACAAGAAGGAAATTGTTTTTTCAAGTCCAGTGATTTTTTTAACGCAGTTTCGGGCAGACAGTTATGTTTCGTACAGAATATAAATAATCTCAATAAAAAAAAAGAAGGGACGATGTGTCAACTGGGAGTTTGCGACAGAAGACTCCGCAAAAAGGTAGAACCTGTTTTTCTTATCAATAAACTTAAAAATTAATTTTCCATTTCGTTTATTAGACAACAGTTCACACAAAAAAAAACAGTTTTTGTTCAGAAATTGGTTTAAAAATCGCCTGGAGCAAGTGTCAAATGCGTGTATCAGAAGGAAGAGTCTCCGATGCAATTCTCGAGTTGTCACTGTTCAACAGTATCCGTTTTGTTCAGAAATTTGCTAAAAAATCGCCTGGAGCAATATGTCAACAGCGCGTATCAGAAGTATTTTCAAGCAAATTACGTTTGTCATAACCAAAAATGGTTAATTTCATTCTAAATGTCTCAAAATTTCTACGAAAACAGATCACATTCAGATTTTTCGTTTTTTTGAAGTGATGAGGCGAGAACAGTTCCTTCTCGTAAATCCACAAGAGCCGCGGCCACAAAGCGTTTGTTAGGCCATCTCAGCTAGTCCGCGCCAGTTTTTCGTGTTATCACACAGTCTAAATAAATAAATACTTTATTTTCAAAGCGAAAAGGACACTTATACTAACATTTAATGTCTCAACAAGAAGGAAATTGAGTTTTTCAGAGATTCAACGCATTTTCAGACAATCTTTCTTTTTTTCTACAGAATAAATATTATTTCCAAAAAAAGGATTGATGTGTCAATTGGGAATTTGCGATAGAAGACGCCGCAAAAAGCTAGCACCTGTTTTTGTTATCAATACACCTAAAAAGTTATTTTTCGCTCTCGTTTATTAGACAATAGTTCACACGAAAAAAAACCGATGAATACAAAGTTCGACAAAAAACTATAAGAAATGTACCGAAAAAGAAGAGAGTTACCAGAAAAAGTCATTGTAAAGCAGAAAAAAAATGCGAGAAACAGACAAAACAAATTACAACAAAAAAAAACAAAAAAAACCGACAGAGAAACTTACAACAAGAAAACAAAAAGAAACTTGCAACACAAAAAAACCAACAGAAAAAACTTACAAAAACAAAAATAAACAAGAAAACCTTATTACAAAACCAAGAAAGAGAACAAAAAACCGACAGAAAAACTATTGAGAAACCAGAAAAAGACAGAATTCAAAACGGAATCGGAGCTATTTAAGGTATAGGATATTTGAACTGGCGAATAAAGCAATAGTTTGTAAAAAAGAGACAAGGGGATTGGTGGAGTCACAGATGGGCGCTAGGCTAACAAAACAGTCAAAAGCTCGAAATATTAACTGTTTCCTAAGGACAATCAAAAATTTCAAGTTCGTCTGAAGGGGCCTGTTTTGTTCAAAAAATCGAATTCAAGCCTTGGCTCCGGGGTTATTCCTGGGTAGCGGTAGCGTCGTTCATATGGCGGCAATTTCCCGTTTTGACGAGCTCGACGATTTTCTTGGTGCTCTATGCATGCTTGATGCAGTCGTCTGATATTGTCGTCTGAAAAAAGTTCAATTTACATGTTTAGGCATTATTCCTAAATTTATAAGCAATTTCATAGATACAACGCTTAATATATAGCGCGACACTAGACTCGAATAAAGTCGAAACTTACAGGGTGGGATAGGCGTTGGACCATTGTTCATGGCGAAATCATAATAAGCTTGGTTAACCATTGCGTCAAATGAGTCGCTTCTGGTCGGACGTCTTTGGCTTCCAGACTGTCCATCTGAAAATAAATGTTTCTACTCTTATTAAAGTAATATAAAACATCTCCTGGGTTGTCAATTAAATGACTTACCACTGCGATGAGCGTTGTTTCTCGATTCATATCTTGAGCTTCTCTCTCTTTCTCCATCGGAATATTCACCCTGGTGTCCAAGACGATTTCTTTCGATGAAGAAGCCTTGCGCGTAGTTAGAACGATTTACAGTGCTGTTCGCGGTTGGACGGCCACGGTGACTGTCAAAATCGGATCGATCGTTGTCCCGAACAGCTGCATATCTGGAGCTTCCCTTTCTTCCTCTAGTGGAATAATCGTTGACGCATTCCTGACGACTCACCGGGTTTCCGACCCGAATTTGGTTGAATTTTCGGGAGTACGAGTTCGGCGAAATGACGGCCACTTGACGGCCACGGTGACTGTCGCGATGTTCATCAGGATCAGCGTGAGCTCCTTGACGGTGATGGTTCCTATCTTGTTCTTCGGCGTTTCTTGAAAATCTGTTACGGATGAATCCTTTATGGTAGGAAGGTCCATGGAGGTTTCCTGGTTCCCAACGTTGAAGATGCCCAGAAGCCTCAACGGAATGGACCGGATACTCTCGGATGATAACTTTCATCGGCTCCCTCGCCATCTGGCGGCCGTTTTGCTGCTGAGGTCCGCCGATTGCTCCTTCATGACCAGAGCCGTCATCATCCGATTTGTCTAGCTCCTCAGAATCTGCACTCGGTTCGTTTGGGTTTGCCCAGTCTACGGTGCCATCTAATCTGAGACACGGGGTTAGGTGTATAACTTGAACCTCTCTCATTACGATTTCCGCTCTAGCCGCCGTTGCCATTCGAGGACCGTTGTGTTGCTCAGATCTGTCGCTTCTTTCTCCTTGGCTCGAGCTATCCGGCGGAACGTAGTTATTTGACATTCTGAAAAAATTAACGTATTGCGGAGATTGAGAATAGAAGAAAAACAAAACTTTACACGAGAAATATATATTGAACCTAGAGAGGCAAAAAGAGGAACTGGAGAAGGTGCGTTGAAGGTTTTTATTGCATCGAAGGGTCCATGCCACGTTCTGTTTGCTTTGTGTGTGCGTCTCGATTGACCTATCGATTGACCGCTCGTCTTGTGTTCATTGTTACTCGGTCTCCCTCTCCCTCTCTTTTCCTTACAAATGACTTTTGTTTCTCATCTTGTTTTTTTCCAAGTTTTAACACTTTTCTCAAAGGACCAAAATGTTTCACTAAAATTTTTGGAAAGTATGGAAAACCATTATCATTTACCATTCTTTTTTTGAGCGCCAGGGGGAAATTTTTAAATTGGATAGTTTTTGCAACTTTAAACAATACAATTTCAAACAAATACTCGAAGAAAAATTGGAAAACTTGTGAATCTAAGAGAAAATGTTGGTTGGCAACATATTCAAAACTTCGGCCAGCGGCCGTGTGGACTGGTTTTCCAAGTGCGACCGACAAATCACCGAGTGCAACGTGTCTCACCCCGCAAACGCGTCAGCAACGCGTTTGCCCCTTTCTTGATAAGTTGACGCATTTCGTGTATTTTAATTAATTTGGGCTCATTTTCGAGGCTTTTTAAACGATTTTTCAAGCAATATATGTTACAAAAAAATCACAAATTTTTTCTATCTAGGAAGTCATCAGTTTCATTGATATAAGTGATATTTTGATTTTTCTCAGGTATTTATGTACACGTCAGCTCTGTTTTAATGCTCTTATACTACGCCAGCATCTTCTATTCTTTTTTTGCTATCACTAATTCATTTATCATTTTACAGAATGAAGTTACTCATCTTTGGGCCTTGTGGTCTTCTTGCTGCACTTTGTTGCTTCTACCAGCCGACAGGTATGCCAAAAATCGATATAAGAAGCTGATCAAATAAAATTTCCTTCAGATGCTGCTCTCGCTGCGATGTCCATTGATCTTGGTAGTCAATTCATAAAAATAGGACTCGTGAAGCCTGGTGTGCCGATGGATATTGTATTGAACAAGGAATCCAGACGCAAAACTCCAAATGTCATCTCCTTCAAGAACGACGAGCGATTTTTTGCTGAAGCAGCTGCTGCAATGGTGAGTGAACTTACTCTCACTTTGAACAAATCCTTATTTTATCAATTCCAGTCATCGTCCCATCCACAATCATCTTACAATTTCTTACTATCCCTCATAGCCAGAAAGGAAGGAGACGATGCTTTCACAGCGTACAAGAAGACCTTCCCGTTCACAGCCTTCGAGTTCGACGAGGTCAAAAAGACTGTGATCTTCCCTTACAAGTGAGTTTGCAGGAATTTTTATTTCAAAGGGAAAACATGAGTTTAAATTACAGGGAGGAAAAATACAACGTCGAGACACTGTTGGCAATGATTTTGTGGAACGCGAAGAAAGTGACAGAGGCCTATGCAGACCAAACCGTGAAGGTGAGATTTCAAAATTTTGAATTTTTCAGAAATGGAAGGGAAAGATGATAGCGAGAGATTATTTGAACAAATATTGGGAAATTAAAAGAAAGTTTGATACAACATGGGATGGGAAGTGGAATATGAGAAGAAACAGTTTCTAGTCGAAGAGTCCGTGGTTTTGAACATACATGTGGTATTCGATGGCAGCGACCAATTCGAACAGATCGCAGTATGCGGTGTTGTAGGCAAACTCGATGAACTGGAAAAATGTTTTATTTTTTTGTTTCACTGGTTGGCATATCAGTTTGTAACCAATTGGTCGATTAGATCGCGGCATGCTAAAGACTAATTGCTGAAATTTTGCTTGGAAGAGAGGAGTTGATTTATGAGCGCATTTAATAAGTGTCTTTAGGCTCACTAGCATCAGTTAGGATGAAAAAGTTGACCTTCTCTGCAGTAACTAAAGTTTGATTCCCGGTTTGATTCCAAGCGCTTCCAAGCAGTAGATCTTTGGAAATTTAAACTAACAAAAATGGAACAAACTCAGCACACGGAAATGGATGTTACTGGTCGTTAGTCAGCTATTTTGCTGGAGTTTTGTTCAACTTAGTTTCATATGGGCGTGAATCAAACTGTGAAATAATTAACTCCAGAGACACCCGGAGAGTTGAGTCACTCACGAATTTTCAGCCCCTTCAATCCTGTCACGAATGCTCCACTCTCCTTGTTCAAGTGTAGATTACACTAATCAAGTTTTTCACAAACGTTTTGTAAGAAACTAACCTCGGTGCGCCAGACATTAATGTTCTCCACAGCCATCGAGAAGAGCTCAACGCTAGCTTGGTACATATCGTGATGCTCTCTACAGCAAACATTACGTGACAACAACAACTCCCAATCAAACACATCCGCCATACGAGGGTCGTCGATGGTTTCAGCGGTAGCAGCAGTGGCGTACTTGACGTTGACATCAGCATCCGTCAGAACAATGTTGCATTCGTCTTTCAAGTATTGACGAATATCTCCAACGCTATCTTTGACGAGATCGACAAGCTCCTCAAGAGTGGGCGAATTGAAAATAACACCGTGGTTATGAGACAAATCGATATGAATCTCCTGGAACGCGGTGATAAATTTGTTCATATTCACATCAGTTGGGCTTTCCTCGAATTCAACGAAAAGGTTGGCGAACTCGTTTTTGATCTGATCAGCAGTTTCTTTTGGTAGCAGTGCAACGGAGCCACGGAAAAATTCCAACATCGCTTCCATATTCCTAAAAAAAAACTATCAAACCACCACCGCACACAACAGCACAATAATTAACAATAACTAGTTGCAACGAAACAACACAGCAAAAAACACACGACACAACAATAAGAAACTTTTCTTGAAAAAAGTCTGATCCGCAACAAGATTTATACAACAATATGAGACTCGAGAAAAAAATAAGCAAATTTGTCGATTATTAATCAAAGCTGCGGACGGAGATCAGAAGTAAAAAGTAGCGGATCATGTAGTCCTCAAAGAAGTGGGCGTTCAAACGGGTTGGTTGAGAAGGAGACTATTGGCATCGCGAACCGATCCCTCGATGAACATAGCCATCAGCTGGAAATATTATGGCTTGAAGCTCAATTTTTGTGACTTCGTTGTGTATTACTCACATGGTATGAAGCTGGATCTGGCAGAATGCGGGCCCGAATCAATAGTTGGGCTCCGCAGATCACCTGGAATGGATTCATTCGCCGGACGCGAGCATTTGGAACATTTGAGATGACGACGTAAGCCATGATAGCGAGACGGTAGTTTATTTGGAAGTGGAGTTGGGAGATCTCATGGCTTCCTGGTGGCATTTTCATAGTGAGAAGCTGGAAACAAACATGCGTAGTACTCAATATTAAATGATTAGAATCTTACTCGTTCCGAGTGACTAGCCTGGTAGTTTTGCTGAATCATGGTCAACTTTTGGCACCACGTGGCAAGCTGGTATGAGCATTTCTAAAACTGACTAATATTTTTCCAAAAGTCTCCTCAAATCTTACATGATAGTTAATATTGGTCTTCAATTTAGCAACGTCTTCAAATGTGAGCCCCTTGGATTGAGCAAACTCGCGAAGTTTGCGGATTTCTTCAGCCTCGTTCTATAACCAAACTTTTCATTGCTCTCTATACAAAAACAAAACACACCGCACTGCTCATAATTAGAAGAACATTCATGCACTACTAACCTCCTCCCACAGGTTTTGCATAGATTGGAGCGCGCGTTTCGCCTTCTCAACGATCTTCTGACGCTCCATGTCATGTTCATCGCAGCACTTCACTTCGAAGTTCTCCTAGAAGATTATCATATATTTTCTAGAAAAAGTGCGACTCCAACTCACAATGACCTCCTTGAAAACCGCAACTTGGCGAGCCTCAAAGTCAAGGTTAGGCTTATGGATGGTAATGGGGATGTGCAACGCTTCAGTAGTAGTAGGCATTCTCACTTCAAAGTTTGTTCTAAAAACAACAATGGATTAGAATCGAGAATCCAAACGACTTATGAATTTCAAGAATGAGACGAAGACGCAGAAAAAAATAATTTAGCTTTTGGTGGGTTCATCTCAGTGTATTATAAAAAGACGAGAGAAGAGAAAAAGAAGAGAATCTCTCTGTGCGAAAAAACGGAAGAACGGACTCAGAGGGCATAGAGAGGGAGCACATCGGGGCCGAGAAAAAAAAAGAAAAAAATGAAAGGAAGAGAAAGAGAAGATACTCGGGCGGTTCAACTAATTGCCTCAACGGAACGAATAACTAAAAAGAGCACACACTCAGCGAAACATGGCTCGAGGGGAGGTTTTTTGTCTTGATGTTTCTGATTTTGCTCCAGCTGGCTTTGGACTTTTGAAAACAAGAGGAAGCTGGCTCCCGAAAAATCAGAGAATGAGGTTCCGCCTTTTTGGTCGGAATGAAACGCCTCCTTCTATTTTAAGGATAGAAGAAAGGGAGAGTGGTTCTTGGTGCAACACACGAGATGTCAACAAATCTCAATCTTATTTTAAAATGAGAAAATTTACAATCGAGATATGGGGAATGTGGTAGAGTCACGCTTTAAGCAATAAATTGAAAATTCCAGCAAGTTTCTGGTGAAAAAAATATATTGGGGTATTGCACAACTTGAATAACAGAAAGTGCAAACTCGGCATTCTGGAAGCAACGATGAGAAAGAGCGAAACGAAAGCAAGAGGATGATGCGCGACAAATGAATAAGCGGCGGAAGTTTCCAGAAGAATATTTTTCTTCCGAATATATCTAATCCCTTTTCCAGAGAATTGTCGAAAAAGACGTATCCTATTAGTCATAGGTTTATTGTTTGCATTCCAAACAGTTTCCATTATATCTCATGACACCCGGGGTCCCAACGAAAAAAAAACGGGGAAAATTGAGAGAAAGAGAGACGACAAGAGTCGCACACAGAATGAATGGATGAATGCTTAGAAGAATGGCTGTGCGTTTTCGATAGCATGATTGGGCGGAGTTTTACGAATCTTGAGCTTTGAGACTCCGCCCACTTTTGTTTCGATCATAATTTTAGATATTCTGGAAACTATGAATAACAAGAGGGATGATGATAGTGATAAAAATATAAAGGGAACATGAAATGAGGGACAACCAACACAGCAAACCTGCTAAAATCTGTCAGAAAAAAAATTTCCCTTCGTCATTTGTTAACCTTATCATTTTCAGGATGTCGTTATCACCGTACCAATCTTCCTAAACCAGGCTGAACGTCGTGCCATTGCAACAGCTGCCGAGATCGCTGGCCTCAACCTTCTTCAGGTTCAGAACCAGAGATGAATTATGAGTCTTATTTAAAAAATATTGTTTTTCAGTTACTCAACGACGGATCGGCTGCCGCTCTGAACTATGGAGTGTTCCGCAGAAAAGAAATCACTGAAAAGCCGATGCACATGTTGATTTATGATATGGGAGCTGTGAAGGTAGGTGTTAGTGTATGATGTCTGGTGTCGAATGGAATTTGGAAACAGGGGGAATTTTTTTTTCCCATTAAGAAAGACAAAAAAATTCTAGGCTAGTGAAGAGGGAGAACCCCGGAAATGCGATGCGTCTTGAGCACATTCGTTTTATGTTGTCATAGGAATACGCAGTGGGCCGCATAGAAATAGTTTTGAAGACTTTTGATACACACGTGACGTATTTTCGTACAACTTTTGAGAAAGCTGAAAATTGAAATTGACGCGTAACACTAAGCACAAAAATAGATTTCTTGAATGCACATAGACAGCGAGAAGATTATCTCTTAATCAGTTAGAGTTAGATGTTAGTCAAGAAGGCAATGATGAGATGAGAACTGACATTCTATAGAACACATTTTGTATTGAAATAGGTCAGAAAAGATTTCAAAATAACTAGTTTTGAGATATACATACAATACCGGTCAATAGAAATACAAAAACCTATGTTTTCGTTGTTTTTTTGGTCATTTTGACCATTTTCAGAAGTCTGAAGTTTGGCTGTCAAGTTTTTGACCACTTTGAAAACTCTGAAAGGTGTAACACAGGCCTAGATTGGAAACTTTGCATTTCTATAAATTTGAAAACTCCTAGGTCGAAAGTTTTTGATATGGATTTGTTTTTTGACATCCGACATTTTCAAAGTGAACGGAAACTTGACAGCCAAGTTCCAGGCTCCTGAATAGAGTTAAAAATTTTTTACGGAAAACAGACAAAATTGACTCTATAGCTTCCAATCACATGTTTTTCTTTGTTTAAAAACATTTTTTCCAAAGATGAATCATCGAAAAAAATGATTTTCCAGAATGTTCTTTAGCTATAGACAGAGAAAAAATTAATAGAAAAAGGATCTAAAAGTGTTTAAGAAAGGATTATGATGACATATGAAACATCTAATTTTAGGGCGGGAGGGCGGAAAGGGTATATTGCTATACGTTTTTTTTCTAGTTAGATTGAGCAATCCACAAATCCCCATTCTAAGAAAAAAAATGACGGCGTCGCACTCTCCAAATTTAGTGTTTGAAGCCATTCAATGGAGGAAAAGAGAAAATTGAGAAAATGAAAGTGTTCCATGAATAAATTACTGAATTTGGAACGTCATTATGATTCTTTTTTTCAGACCACTGCCACCATTGTGCAATACGTTTTGGAATCAACTCGCAAAGACGGAAAAGACAAGCAACCCACACTCCGAACCGTGGGAGTTGGATATGACAAGACTTTGGGAGGACTGGAAATCACCAACCGAGTCAGAGATCACCTCGAAAGGGTATTGAGAAAGAACTTGTGATCACCTGACCTGATTATGATAATTTACAGGTATTCCGTGACACTGTGAGCACATCAAAGGACATCACCACCAATGCACGTGCTATTGGCAAGCTGCACAAAGAAGCGGAACGTGTCAAACAAGTTCTCTCGGCCAACACCGAAACCTATGCTCAAGTCGAAAGTCTTTTTGAGGAGCAGAATTTCAGAGCAAAGGTGGGAATTATTTATGAAGACTGATTACATTTCCAAAGCAAGTACCGAAAGAGTGTAATTAGAAAAAAGAAAAGCGTTGGGAAGATTCTACAGACAACCAAAAATTAGCATAGTCAGCAAATATGAGTCACGTTATATTCATAACATCTGCCTAAGAGAAAATTCGCAAATGCGCTCTGATGGACACATATATTTCAAACTCATCCATGTGACACGCTTTCATATGTTTCACTTTCAGAAAAAGGAAAAGTATGAAAAAATTAAAAGTAGACTACAAACTTAACTGCAATATGGCTAATTACAATCCAAACATCATTCACCATACCAAAAATGAAACTGATAGGAAAAATTGAAAATGACATGTTTAGTGATCGGCTGAACCAGATATTAGCTCGTCGTCGTGAAAATTACTGTAGAATGGATCTAAAAACTTACTCAACCACGCTGAATTGACAATTTGAGTAACAAACAGTTTATTTTCCTCCATGTCAAAACAAAACAAAACCAAAAATTTTTCCTAGTCAGCAAAAATGAGCCATATTCAATTCATAACATCTGTCTAAAAAAAGATTTACAAATGCGCTCTGACGGACACGCGTAAAAGCTATCGTCAGAGGTCAGCTGAATCAAATATTAGCTCTTTAACGTGAATATTACTGTAGAATGGATTCTCTGAACAACGCTGAATTGACAATTTGAATAACAATCCGCATATTTCCGGACACACTGAAAACAAATCCAAAATAACCAGAAATAAGAGGGCAATCATGAATAATTCAATCATTTTTATTGCTTTCTGAGCATTTTTGATTAATTTTGCTGAAGCTGTAAACAATATTGTTGAAAATACACACGAAAGATCGAAACAGCGAGAAGGCATAACTGAATTATTGAGAAATGAGCAGGAATGGAATTCGCTGAAGCAAATATTAATATGAATTTCACGTTTCCAGGTAACACGTGATGAGCTCGAGAAGATGATTGAGGACCTTGAACCAAGAATTGCTGCCCCGATTCTTGACGCTCTTGGAATGTCTCAGCTCAAGGTCGAGGACGTCGACTTGATTGTTTTGATGGGAGCCGGAACTCGTGTGCCAAAAGTCAAGGAAATCCTGAAGTCAATTTTGAAAGACAAGGAAATCAGCAACTTCTTGAACACCGACGAGGCTATCGCCATGGGAGCTGTCTACCAAGCGGCCCATTTGTCCAAATCCTTCAAGGTTCTTCCGTTCAACATCCACGAGAAGATTCTTTACCCTGTCTTTGTGAACTTCCAAACGAAAACAGAGGAAGGAAGAATGAAGCCAATTAGAAAGTCGCTATTCGGTGAGAACTATCCAGTGCCAAACAGAGTCATGCATTTCGCGTCATACTCTGATGATTTCAAGGTTTGCTACTAATGCGCATTTTACTCAAAGCTGGATTTTGATTACAGATTGAAATTCAAGACGCTGACAAGAACCCACTCTCCGAGATTGAGTTCACTGGTGTTAAGGATGCCATCGAGAAGGAGGTCACCGATGAGAACTCTATTCTTAAGGGAGTGAAGACCACGTTCTCGATCGATTTGTCAGGAATCGTGTCAGTCGAGAAAGCCAGTGTTGTTGTCGAGAAAATCCCAACTACCGAGGAAACCGAGAAATATGAAATTGAGAAGAAGGAGTTCGAAGAGTGGGAAAAAGAGCAAGAAGAGTTGAAAAAAAAGGAAAAGGCTGAGAAGAAAGAAAAGGAGGAGAAGAATAAAGCGGAAGGTGAAAAAGCCGATGATGAGGAGAAGGAAGATGAATCTGAGAAGAAGACCGAGGATGTCGAAAAGCCAGCTCCAGTCAAGAAGACCAAACCAGTAGAGCCAAAGCCAAAGAAGATTAATGTGGCGCTGACAGTCAAGGAGACCAAAACTGACAACGTAGATTTGAACAAAGAGGAAGTAGCCACTGCTAAAAAGACGTAAGTTGATGAGCTAGCTAACTGAAAACGACGATTGGTAGAAAACTAAAATCCACTAAAACGCGTCGTTCTTCCGGAACTCGGGCACTGAAATTGGAGCTGTTTAAAAGCTCCCAATTTTTTCCGTGTTTACGATTACGACGTCATTTAGTATATAAATTGAAATAGCGAGAAAAGAACACAGAAAAAAGAAAAATGGAACATAACAAAAAGTTCCCGTCAGTCATCTTATCAATACATAGTTCTACTCTGTCAAAAAGGGACATGCGTCAAGAAAGCGTACTTTTTGTTAGTTTATAAAGACTTTTATCCCAGACTTTCCGACTTCGAGCAAAAAGAGCAGGAGAAGCATGATCGTGAAGAGGCAATGAATCTGTTAGAGGGACTTCTTTATGATTTGGCTGTTCGATTGGAAGATGGAGAAGAATATGCTGAATATGTCACCGAAGATGAGAAGAAGGCAATCCTCGAGGAGGTTTCTATTCTCAAGCTTTGGTTTGAAGACGACGTTTCCCTAGATACCAAAAAGGAGGAATTCGACGAGAGAAGAAAGAAGCTCGAGGAGCTCACCGCTAAGCCAAATTCCAGAAAGCAAGAGCACATTGATGTTCCAAAGGTGGCTGAGGTTCTTGAGGATAATTTCAATCGATCAATGACTTTCCACGGCATGGCTCTTAATTTGACCCAGCACGAGGAGGGCAACAAAACATTCACCGACACTGAACTCGAGGTGCTCACCAAGTTGATTGAGACAACGACCGAGTGGTGGAATGAGAAGAAGGAACTCTTCGATAAGCAGGCCAAGAACGAAGAACCAGCTGTCAAGGCTTCAGAGATTGCTGAGAAGGTTTGTGAGCAAAAAATAACTGCCAACAAATATAATAGAATCGAATATTGTTGGGGATCGGTCCAGGTGTTGAGAGGGGTTTCAATATGTAGGTCGGAATTGGCCAAAAACTTTGGAGTCCGGCTTACTGTAATTGGTGACATGAACACTGTGAAGAGGTGTCGAATAAATAAGAATATTCAATAATGCATTTTTCAGGCTCGTGATTTGGAACGTGAGGTCAGATACCTAGTGAACAAGCTTAAGATCGCAAGCTCCAAAAAGACGAAGGAGGAGAAAAAAAAGGCCAAGAAGGAGAAGAAAGACGCCGAAGAGGCCAAGACTGATGAAGGAGCCAATGTAGATGCACCAGATGCCGAGGTATGTTGAAATTGAAATACATCACTTCTATATTCTAGAAGTTGAACTGCTGTGAAAGTAACAATCTGTTCATACGGAGCCCAGAGAGACAGGTTACTCAACATACTGAAAAGCGTAACTTCTGGCTGGGGGTTGGTCAGACTCAGAATGAGAACGCTGCTAAAGCCGAGCGGTTCAACTTTAAACTACCGACCAAAACCTGACCAAAGGCCGCTTTAAAGTCGTTTCTGGGCAAGTTCAGACCTGTACCAGACCAACATCCTTCCAAAAGCCAAACCAACTTGTGACCAGAAGTTACAAGCCGACAGTCGAGCAGTTTTCTTTCTGAAAATCTATAATCCCTCGACGGTGTTGAAACAAACCATGGATTTGTTTTCAAAATCGTACACGCTACAAAGCTCGCTGGCATGAGGAAGATCCCTCATATTGAAAAGTTCGAATAAATATTTTTCAGTACTTCGGGCAACGGAAATTATAGAATTCTGTTTTTCTCTCCAAATTGTTGACGCTTCACTGCAAAACCTCTCATCTTAATTTTTATCCGAACTTTACTTTTACTAAAAACATGTTGTTGAGTTTTAAGGACATTAGTTTGTACCGAAAAGTTCAGAAATAACAATAGTTGTTTATTTTCATGATGTTGCTTATAACTTAGGAACAATTATCATAACCAGGAACTTCCTGAAACTTTGCGGACAGATACTTTCGGTCGGAAAATAGAAAAAGAAGAATTTTGGTGACCGTTGCTCCCAAAAAAAAACGCTTTTTATTTTCTTCTTCCATATCTTTTTAAGAATGTATTATATCACACGGAAAACTTTTCATCACACATGCACATAATTCCTGTAATTTATGCTTGCCGAGGAATTCTGAGAAAATAGGTTGTGTGTTAGTTTACTTTCTCGGCGACCAATTCATTAAGATTCCACTCGTTATTTCACATATAATAGACCTATCTGCCGAGCAAGTTTGAAAAATATGCCGAGCTGGCGGCCATGAAATTAAATATAATGTACACTTAATGTACATTTAATATATTTATTATCACATGTATAATTCTCTTACAACTTCAAAAACACAACTCTATATTTCGTTTATAAGCACAGAATTGTTCAATCGCGATTTGGTTTCTGAATAAGGGCCCAATTCTAGCTAAACGGTCGCTGTGAATGATGATCTAGTCCAGTCCAAGTTCTTCAAAATAGGGTTGTGATAAAAGTCAAGTCATGTCTTGAGCAGCTCAATAAATATACCAAAACCCCTACATATCTCGAATTGATGTTTTTCTGAAAAACGTTTCCATTCCTCTTTTTCCTTGGACTTTTTTCTTTTCAATATCGAAAATAATATTTTTGCAGACACCTCCACCGGCAGAAAACGATGAATCAACCACAGCCGAGCCGAAGAAAGAAGCTGAACACGACGCGTCGGAACTGTAAACCTGTCAAATCAAATCAGTAGTCAACAAAAGTTCATTCGAACTTTCTCCCCGCAATCATCATCTCCCACAGTGCTTCTAACATCTTCTAACCACCTTTCAATCTATTTCAGCTTTTGCATCAACAATTTTATTCTTTTTCCCTTGTCAATCACCTTTCAATATTCATGAGAAACAATTGAAAGTGTATGAAACAAAAATTAACCGAAAATTTATGACGGATAGAGAAAAAAGGATGATGACAAAAGATGCACTGAGTTTTCATCATGTCTGATGCAATCTCGCTGCGTTCCTCGTCCAAATTCGTTTCCCTTATCCAACTTTTCTTCGTGTTGTGATTCTCCAAACGCTCTCACCAAATTGTTTTAATCTAAATCACCAACATCTTTTTAACAGGATTCCTCGAAAATATATATTTATTAACTTATTTTGTTGATTGTCTTAACATTCAAACGGTTGTCTCATCATCAGTAAAAACATTTTTGTAGGGTTTTCAATTGTTTTAATCATTTGATCTTTTCTTTTCTCCACTTCCCATATTGATAAAGTTTTCTGGAAACAAAACGGCGCTATTTTTTTTCTGGTTTTTTTTTCGAGAGGTGTGCTTTATCAGCACTTTCGGAAAGTTTCAGATGCTTCTTTCCTTGTAACAGCTGTCGCTGTCAACGACCTACTCGTCGGGTGATGATGATCGAAACGTCTGCAGAAAAAAAAAACTAAGATGGGATGAGAAAAATGATCTTATGAACCTGTGGGGTGAGAGGGTGAAACAACTGTTCATGAGTTATGTTTCGAATTGTTTCTCGGTTTTCTCAGAGCCCACATGTTCTAGTCTAAGTCATTAGATCAGTGAGCATTCTGGAAATCCGACGTGACTTCTGCAATTTAAAAATTTGTCATTTGACAGGAAGAAATGGGTAAAAATTGAACCTGATAAAAAACAAAAAACATACATCAAAGACAAAATATCCTAAAAAACTTTTTGTAACCATAGATCATTATCGAAAATATATGAAAAGCTGACCGGTTATATTTTAACAACTTGTTGTTTACTGTGAAGCATTGATCAATGAACGCTACCCAAAACCACCACAGTAACCCACAAAACGAGGTGCAAAATGACCTCGCTCATCGAACAATCGCCTGCAAAAGAATAAAGATGATCCCGCATCTTTAAAGAAGAATCATTGTTTGAAGGTTACTGTAGATAATAAGATGAAAAACAGTTACAACAAACAAACAAGTAGAATCAAATTCTTCCAAATTGGCAATTATCACGTGTGCATTTCTAGTCTCTTGTTCTCCACAGAAATAAATTGTTTTCAGGTTATTCTTGGTCTCGGTACAGACCAACAGCGTGTGATGATGTGTGTACCAACTCTATTATTGGAAGTTTTTGTGGTTTGCAGGAGAAAAACATTAACAACATTTTTCTGAGATACAGTAGTCATCTGGTTTGTCACGGAAAGCTTGTTTTATCATACAGTTGTTCACTTGCCGTTATATCTTTCACCCCAGTCCATCTCCCCCCCCCCATCTTTGTTATCAGTACACGGCCACAAAAAGCATACACATTTCGCAATATTCGCACAAAGACCATCAGGCGATCGATCAGTGCTGGTGGTTCGAACTCTGATGACGGCGAAGGCCACCAGATGTCAACATACTCCCTCTCCTGGAAGCAGTTTGATAACTAACTGATGGCTCTGTCCAGTGAACTGATAAGACACGTTCTCTTTCTATGTCTTCTCTCGCTACCCTCCACTGCCAGATCACTAACAAGTTTCAGGTTTTTGGACGATCGCTTGTTTCGTGCAGCACATCTATCACCGTCTCTTCTTCTTCTGCGCTATCTTTGCAGGAAAATAACACAGAGAGATAGACAGTTGTCTCAACTAGGGGCCACGTGGGGCCCTATTCTTTTGCCCGACTGCAAACAGTGACGTCGCTTTGAAGGTGATGGGAAGCTGATAACATGAAACGACGAAGACGGCGATTATCAAATATGATTATGCCAGGTAGATGGTATGCAAAGGAGACTTGTGTCCGGTGATTTGTGTCCTCGTGTCCACGCTAGGCAGGCGGAAGGAAGTGAAGTGCGCCAGAAATTGTTGTCAAGGAGATGGGAGATCAAACTGCTAAATTGATACGCGTACATTTTTTGAATATGTTCGAATATTTAATTACAAGAGATTGGTATAATATAGCTGGCAAGCAATGTGATTATCTTGGAGCTGATAAATATAGTTACAGTATACCGATGGTAGAAACAAGTTAAAGAAACAGGAAATCATGATCTTCTAAAATTTCAAGACACGAGACTTACAGTTTGAAACAGGTTGCAAATATAGAACATACTATTCCTGTAAGAAACCTAGTTTTAGCCACGTGGTGTACAAAAATAGGTCACTATAAAACCCCAAGTTTGAGAATTTGAAAATTGTTTTTACCGTATCCAAGTATCACATCTCTACCCAATTTTTGAAAAATCCAAAAATTACGATATCCAACTGAAAAAAGAAACTAATATCCCCCAACCCCCATGCGTGTTTTCATTCATTAGTTTTTTTTCCCAGTTGCTTCTTTCTGTCGATCCCTTAACTCTTCTTTTTTCGTCTCAAGAGCAAACATTAGATTTTGTTGTTCCATCATCTTACAGAAAATAAAAAAGTTCACTTCTAAACAGCTGGGAGTTTGAGAAAGTTGACAAGTCAACATCAAACTCCCAAAACTCTTCAAATCTATCTTCTTTTTTTTCGGTTTTTTTTTCTTTACTTCTCAACTCTTTCATTATCTTCACAGGCGTCAGAGAGACACATTCCACGAAGGAAGATGGGAAGAAAAAGGAAAAGCATAACCACACTTTTTTTCTTAACTTTTTTATGATTTTCGAAGTCATGTGATACATCTTTAAAAGTTTCCCTTGTCATGTTTCACCAGCTTTCATCTTGTTTCTCTTATCGAGACTGACCTACAAACTACAGAAAGACACCTACATACAGTGCGCAACTATCAGAATGGTAAGAAGGAGAGGAAGGTGGAAGAGGGCCCAATGAACGATTTTCCCGCCAGATTAGTGTAGTCCTCTCAGACAAGACTACAGGTGCACAGTGCACTCATCGCACACATACGCATAGGGCCTCTTATTTTAGGACCTGTTGTTGTTGTTTTCTTGATGACGTGTCCTTCTGTCATTGTTCTGCTCAGTTTGTCCCGTGCGTGCGTATTATTAATAAATGTTATTGTCTCATCATTGCCATAAATGGACACCACGTGACTGTGTGAGTCAGTCTTTCCGCGCGGTTCGCCGAGGACCTTCCGTTTAAGATTTCGTCATACTTGTTCGTTTTGCGATTTTTTGTTACTTCCCGATTTCCTTTCTCCCGAATAAGATGTAGATTATTCTTTCGATAATTCATTGATTTATTTCTGACGTGGGTGGCTAATTCTCAAATAAAAGAACTGTAGAATTCAAAAAACAAACCAATCTGGATCATTGTCCATATTAGTTTTCAATCTAATTAATCTCTGATTATTCCTTCATCAATATTCAGCCCACACTCGTCGTTGTTCCGATCTCAAAAAACTCTCCTTTCTCAAGATCACAATCACATCACTTTGTTTTGACCAACTTTCTTCTACCCGACGTGATTCTCGCCCAGCTGATGTCAGTGATAGCGCGAACGACACTGTCTAGAGGGGAAGCAGAGTACTCGTTTAGACCTTGCCAGTTTCAGCCTATCCATCAACTTGGCCATGTTGGTCGAATAGCTAGCGTGATTTCCTTTTTTCCTTCATATCCCTTTTCCCTTTCACGCTGTCAAGGTGACTTTAAGAAGGCTCTAAAAAGAAGACGATGGCAACTTTCTCTCAACTTTTTGTATCCTTTGAGTGGATAGATCAGTGAAAATTGTAGATTTTCTTCTCTTTTTTGTATCTTAGTTCTCCACCAATCTTTTTTTATCCGTTCATATAATGATCGTCTATCTCTCAATTACACTCTCATCATCAAAAGGCGAAAGAATTAGTGTGAGCTCTCTCAATCGCCTCCTGCAACCTCTGAGTGACCAGTGCTGGTCATCGCGCCAACCTCAACTATACGATTCTTTCGCCTCCACACAAGCTGATAACATCTTCTCCTCCCTCGCTTTTCGTTGAAGCGATAATACATTTCCGAGTTCCAAGCGAAGTTTATTTTATCTTTCAAAGAAAAAACCGAAGAATGTGGAAGAGGAGAAATGCTCCAAGCTTTTATTGCCTTTTCTTATTTTTCTTCATTCCATTTGGTTTAGTCGTTGGTCTGGCTGAGATTCTGGACATGATGTTTGGGAATGGGGTAATATATTTCGTCCTATTCAACCCCATAAACCTGTCACAATTTCTCGAAAACAACATTATAGTATGGTTCTGGCCGTTTCGATCAGTATCAATGACCGTTTCGACCAGACAAAATTGACCTATTGTCGAAATGATAATGCCAGCGATTTGGCATAGTTAAACATATCTTTCAACCTTGTTAAAGATAAGAGAAAGATGATTTTTTTTGACATGAGGGAAATATCTCTTTTCTCCAGTTTCCCTTTCTTGTTACCATGCCTGACGTAATCTTCCGTGTTGGTCAACCAACTTCTTTTTTCTTGATGTATTATGTTGCTCTTCTCTTCAAAACGAGTATATACGGTTTTGAAATGTTTGTCCTATATTACATCACATTCGAATACACATATCACCGGCGTCACCAAAGGGCAAATTCTCACGGTCTCTATTTTGTTATTCGTCTGGCACCATCACCCATTGTGATCATCAACCATTGACTACGGAACCACGTGGAGCTCGTGGCTGCGGTTCAAAATGTGCAAGATGCATCCCTCGTGCTATTGTTTTAACCTCGTCATTTCCTGTGAGTACTCGGAGGACTAAAAATACGATGTTGATTTGTTTTCTAAATCCTTGAAGTTCCCAAGAAGCTGATATTTTTGAACCGAATGAGGAGATTTGAAGAAAAAGAACGACGGTTAAGATAAGATGGTTGGAGAGTTCCTACCAGGGATCCTTCCTTCTCAAAAAAGACAAAAACTCCCGACCATCTCAGCTAACCATTCAGCTGAGCGCTTCTGATTGTGTCAACTATCCAAACAGAGACCAAGTGGGCTCACGTGGCGACATGTATTGTTTGAACTAAGTTTTTTTCGGCCCCTGTTGCTACCATAGGTCTGCTAAACTGTGTGTGACGGAAAAAGGTTTTGTTTGAGCTTTAACAAACCTCTCGAGAGGAGCACACTATGATTTTCTCTTTCCCTCATTCTATCTTCTATTTTTTTTTGGTTATGAGTGAAGTGATGGGTTCCAGAGGTTTTTTCTGGTACACTGACGCACACGGATCTCTGTGTAACTTGAAGTTTGGTTGCATATGGGCTGACAGAAGAAAGTAGGATCAGGAAAAAATAGGTTCTGAATTCTGAAAATTACTGTAGGTAGAAATGAGATCGAGCTACTAATTATCGGGATTTTCTATCTTTTCGTTTTTCCCGATACTCGTCTCATTTTACGGATGTTCATGTCTTCTTCATAATCCCACAGTTCTTCTGTACATTCCCATAAGTCCCATTTCCCTGTTCAAGATCTGATGACGTTTCACGACCAAAGCCCATCCAGCTATTCCATTCTGTGTTGCCAATTGTTTTTTTTTCCACCTGCCCAGGTCAAAAGCTCTCGCTTTCCGATCAGGAAGAGATGGGCGGAGTTTCGCGTCCTGACGGGAGGCCGCGGTCGATCGGTTGGCCGCCGACGCCTTCCCGCCCCTCCATCATTGCCCCGCCGATACCCCCACCACTCCTCCCATCGGCCACACTCCTCACAACATCTCATCATTTGTTCGCGCTGCTCTCTCCACGTGCGCCCGCCGTCGCCACCCGGCTGGGCCCTCATCCTTTCCTTTTGGCTTCTCTGCTCCTCTTCTTCTATTTCAGTTTGAACTCAAAGCGTCCATTGCTAGGGTGAATGGGAGGGCGAAGAAACATAGAGAGCTGTTTTCTGAGACTATGTCTGCTTGGACGCTCACAAACCACCACTTCTCCCCACTCTTAGTTCTCTTCTCCAGTTGTACTCTCTAGTTCTTTGGCGCCACAACACCCTCGGTCCACACACATGGCCTGCATTCAAATTGAAACACAACAGCTGGACACTACTGACCTGTTCTTACTTTCCTTCTCTCCCCCACGTGGAGATTTTCTGCCTTCTTTTTCTAATTTTGTTTTCGATTATCAATTTTCTTCCTATCATTATCATTTTTTACTTCATCGTTATCTTCTTTCCCACGCTCCTGGAAATTTCCACCACAAACTGATAATATTTCTTTTTTTCAGAAATTTCAAAAATCATGCCAGCTATTCTTTCACGCGTTGCTCCACGCACATTCACTGTCGGATCCCGACTTATGGCTTCAGCCGCCAGATTGGAAACAGTTCCAAGAGAGGAGATCCACAAAGAGTACGACAGAAAGAAGACTTTCTACGTATGTTTAAATCAGAGGCAACATATAAAAATATGTTTATTTTCAGCACAAAGACCTCGAGATCCATCTTGCCAACCCAGAACAGTTGAAAACCAAACCATTGGATCCAACCAAGCTCAAATTCGGACACACTTATGCCGATTACATGATGACTTGCGACTGGGATGCCACCAGCGGATGGCACCATCCAAAGATTGAGCCAATTGGAGAGCTCAAAATTCACCCAGGAGCCAAGGTAAGTACAGTAGAAATGTTTTATTTGGAATTCCGCGTCCTTCCTATCAATCAGAAAGTAGCAACAATGGCGCCATAAGTGGTCATTATTCTCGCACCAGTTCCAGAATTGACACTTCTTATCATACAAAAAAGATAAGAAAGCAATTAGAAACATTAATATCCTAAGAAGTGCAAAATATAGTGTCAATCAAATCCAAAAAAAAATGTCACGTGGCAAAATGAAATCGCCGCTATCTTTTTTCTCTCATCTTTCGCCTATCCGTTGTGCGGGAAGCAGCAGCAAAAGAAACTTTCAAAGATTCGTAAAGATGATGCAACATACGTCACTTGTCTCTTTTTCACCTCTTTCTGACCTCTAACCGGGCGCCAGCGCGATCAGCAGAGAGAAAAACGAGAGAAGAATTAAATTTGAGACACTTTGAAAATTGTCAAACTAGAAATTGAAACATTTTCGAAACCAGGACACAGATATGATAAAACTTGAGTGATAGGTCGGAGAAGAACATCAAACTAGAGTTCAGTTTCGACAAAGATCACTCCGGATGTTTTTCTGTGTGAAACAAAAATCTCATTTTCGCGGAAACCCGAGAAAACACAAGTCTAATTAGCCAGCAGTAATCCAGTTTAAGATCCTCATTTCTCTTTTTTCCAGGTTCTCCATTATGCCAGTGAGCTGTTCGAAGGAATGAAGGCCTACCGTGGTGTCGACAATAAGATTCGTATGTTCCGTCCAGAGATGAACATGGCTCGTATGAAGAGAACCGCCATCCGTGCTGCACTTCCGGTAATTGACTGTTCTTTTTTCTAAGGCGACGGGGTGCAAAACATAAAAACAAAAACGAAGAAGCACGAGGAAGGAAACCAATTATGTGATAGGCATCTATCTCTACGTGCTATCTTCACTAAAAGCATGTAAAACTGAAGGAAAAAAAAAGAAGTAATTAGTTATAGGAGCGAGAGTCTCTGGGGAGTAGAACACAATTCTTTTGACAATAACCCTCCGAACCACATGACACAACAGTTTAAAAAACCAAGTAATAAATTTTGCAGGACTTCGATTCAGAGGAGATGATCAACGTGCTCACCGAGATGCTTCGCTTAGACCAGGAATGGGTTCCAAACTCAGATGTCTGCTCTCTGTACATGCGCCCAACACTCATCGGAACCGATCCAACTCTTGGAGTCGGATGTGCCACTGAAGCCAAGATGTTTGTGATCACTGGACCAGTCGGAGCTTACTACTCAACAGGATTCCAACCAGTCAGCCTTCTCGCTGACTCTCGCTTCATTCGTGCCTTCCCAGGAGGAGTCGGAGCATACAAGATGGGATGCAACTACGCTCCAACTATCTGGGTCGGAAAGGAAGCAGCCAGCAAGAACTGCCAACAAGTTTTATGGCTCTATGGAGAGAACGAAGACCTTACCGAGGTCGGAACCATGAACATCTTCTTGTTCTGGAAGAACGAGGAAGGAGACATGGAACTGATCACACCACCACTTCATCGTGGTCTCATCCTGCCTGGAGTCACCAGAGATTCACTTCTGGAGCTCGGAAGAGAATGGGGAGAGTACAAGGTGACCGAGCGCACATTGAACATGCAAGAAGTCAAGAAAGCATTGGCTGAGAAGAGACTCTACGAGATGTTCGGGTCTGGAACCGCCTGCGTCGTGTCTCCAGTCGGAAAGATTCTGTACCACAACAAGGTGACCGATGAGTACGAAGAGCTTCACATTCCAACCATGTCCAGCAAACACGGTGTCATGCAAAAGTTCTACAACACAATCAATGACATTCAGGTAAAAGATACTTGGACTTGAAAACTTCCAACTAATCATACAAATTTTTAGTACGGTCGACTCATCAAGGATGGATGGATGCGTGACATTTAACCGTCGACTCCTACCGTAATCCTGCCTTCTCCACTCATAATCTTCCTTCATTCAATGCCGCATTTTTAATACTAACGATGGGTTCTGTTCGAAAATCTCGAAGCTTCTTTTTCTTCTCGATATTCTCTTCTGTATCCTAACTGGGACCGACTCAAAGAGTTGGTGATTTCATTCTGAGCTTTTATGAAGAGCTAACCGAATAGACTTCAAATTCTGAAACGGATATCAGAATGGTAGATTAGTCTTGTTTTCCGGTTTTAACAATAATTTCCACTTGAGAATTACTAGTTTATTTAGACACGTTCAAAGTCCTTGGTACTGTTTTGCTCCCATTTTTCTCCCGCCCCAGCCCCTCAAACACGCTTGTGTCCCGGTTTTATAATTTCACACTTGCTGATATACTGTTCCATGTCAAATACTCGTTAATGATCATCTAGAATCGTTTGTTCTGAATATGAGGGTCTTTTTGTTCTGATTGAAAGGGCTGTTCGATTGCATTCTATGTATGATTTGATTAATTTTGTATTCTTTCCCAAATAAAAAATAATTTTAAATTCGAAATGAGTAATTCATCTCTACTTTAGAGGATTCATATCAGACAACAAACTGTGCATGAACAAAATTCAAACTTTTTCTTCTTGGGCTTCAAATCGAACGGGAAAGAAAAAACCTGTAATTACCTCCTCCTGATTTTTTTTTAAATACAGATCAACTGAAGATAACTATGTGAATGGAAAAATTAAAGACTAAAAATTAGATGGCCCTCTTATTGGAAGGAATATTTTCAGTTTTTTGCTTGTGTTTTTCTTGTTGGAACATTTGTTCCGATCTAAAGTTTCGAGGAAGATTTGTCCAAACCGTTTTGAAATTCTGCCTAAAAGTTCTAAAATCTTAAATTGTTTTCCAAGAAAAGTTTAAAATTTCGGTTTTATAAGAAACGTACCGTAAAACGTAACATAGACGAGCTATCTAACTGTCAACTGTAAGATAGTTTTTTAGATTTAATGTTGAGTATATGAAAAAGTGCTCAACTGACAAAACGTTTATCATATTACCATAAATATTTTGTATGTTGTACATTGTTTGACCTCTCTTACAGAAACGAAGTAAAAAACATTCAAAGTTATCAAGTGTTTTTCTATTTCAGGTTTTACGGTGTTGAAAAAAGCTGAACATAAGAAATTCAAAAGTTTTTCTCGAGTTTGATAATATTTTTGATAATTGTCGTTTTTTGGAAATTTTGTAATGTCCCCCATTATCTACCTCAAATTTTACCAACAACAACCATTTTAACTTGAAAACGTTTTAAAGGAAGCGTCTCAACTATTTCTCATCAAAATGAACTACACATGTTGTATTTCCTCCAATAGAAGTTTGCCCAAGTCGTCAACTTTGAGCTCCATTATCTCAATCCCTGTGAGAGAAATCAAAAATGTGTCAATTGATAAAATATTGGTAACATTAGAATAAATAATTCAACAGTTGACAAACGTTTGACATCTTTCACAGAAATCGAGATAATTGGTCTCGAAGTTGAAAGTTTGGTGTCATTCTATTTTATTGTTTCTCACCCCGTCAACTTTAAATTTATAGGCGGACTTTTGATAGAGGAAATACGGTAGTCAATTATCAGACGCTGCTTGACATCTGGAATAGCTGACATTTGAAAAAGCAATTTATCTACCTTTGCGTTTGCAAGAATTGGTTTTCGGCTGCCCAAAATCTGAAATTTTATTTTTTCAACATCTTACTTTGCTCTTTTCAAAATGAGCAATCAACCTGTTTCTTGCTTATTTTGTATCATCGTTTTCTTTTGAACAATTTATTGATACATAAAAAGCATCAGGATGGAACAATGTTCAATTAAACTTTTTCAGGGGGAGGGACAAAAAAGTGGAGGATACGCAAAAAAGTGTCAACTGCCACGATTAACAGTCTTTCGTGTATACAACACTTGAAAAAACCCTACTGGACATTAAGTGTCCAGTTTCTACAGTAGGTATTAGAAGCGATCAGCGGGAAGAATATTGCAAGGATGTTGTGAGGAATAAGTCCGGAAAGCAACATACTTCTTACAGATATCGGATTCTAACTAGCAAGAAGGGGGAGTAAATAGGTGAGCCAGACAGGGAAAGGGAAATAGACGGTATAGGAAAGGCGAGAGAAATTCAAAAAGAATTCATCGGAGAAATTTCGGACAGACAGGGGAAATCGGTAGAGGCGGCGGGAGGGCAGATGTTCTTGCAGATTTAAAGAACGGAGCAGCTCTTCTTCTCCTGGAACGGGTTATGGGCATCCAGTGGACCAGAGACGAGCATGTCGGTAGCTTTGTTCTTTTCGCAGAACTCCACGAGGCTGAAATTAGATGACATTGATAATGAAAAAAAATATATATATAATTCTCTTATTTAATAAATTTCAAAACTCACTCCTTGGCGACCTCCGAGACCTTTTTGCGTTGAATGTTGGCTTCGGTACGAAGTTGCTCGGTCGTTGTCTTGATGTTTTCCATTTCGTCACGGCGTTGGAACTGAAATAAAATAATCAATGATTCGCAAATCAGTTAGAGTGCTAGTAAAGCAGTAAATGCACTAACTGAATCAAATTTCTGAAAGTGAGGCAATGAAAAAAGAACAAGTTTGTGCGCGTTGACAAAGTACGAAGGAGAATGAAACCACCAATTTAACAATCAGAGTTGTGTGCTCTTTTGATGAAATTGCAGGCTTGCGGGCTAGAGGATCAAAGTGAGATGCACGACAAAAAGTTTATTCCGGCGACCTACTCGAGGGACTAAAAAATCAAAATTTTTCAATAAACAGATGAAGAAAGCGCATCTGAAGACATGTCTGAAGAATAGAGGTCAAACGAAACAAATGGGGGGAGGAGCTCTTAGAAAATCCAGTGTGAAAACTGGTTGAATATGGCTCTTCCCGAAAAAATATTGTCCGAGATTAAGTCGTCTTATTTTTTGCCTCCCCCCTTATTGCCATTCTATAAGTCGCCTTCAGGGGATTCAAAGGTTTTTGCGCCATCGGATTTTCCTTCTTTTATCTCTCGTTTCTCTTTATCATCCTGAGAACAACTTCCTAGCTGAAATAATGTTTAAGTTTTTTCTAGAAGTATGGACCTAAATCTATTAAGAAGAACCAAAAAATGATGATTCTAAGAATGTGAAATTGACAAAAGATGAGAGTCGTATCATGAAAAAAAAGTCAGAAACTCGATATTCAACTGTTTTGTTATCGGAAGCGATATGATTCTAATTCTAACTAACCACTTCATTTGAAAAACAAAAACATCGGACTACCGTAGTCTAACTTTCATATATAGTTGTATTCTCCTAATCCTCATTCGATTGTAGTCTCGCTTGTAAGAAATGTATTCGTACTCTTATGAATAGAATTGAAAAGATTCATCATCTTGTTGAGCAGCTATTCATCAAGAATCAAGACAAATTTTGGCTCTGAAAATATTAGTCGAATCCGAGGCCTGGGTGTCAAGAAATAAATTACCCAAGATTAGCCTGGCCAGTGATAAAATTATGCTCTAAATGATTACAAACAACTCTTTATTTTCAATTTTTTGCCAGCTTAATTGTCAAAATGGGCTGGATGAAAGAAAAAAGTAAAGAAAAACAAAAGTTAATGATTACCGAGATATCATGGATGAACTCAATCAACATTCACAAGACATGAAGAGCACCAACAATCTCATAGTTGAATTTTTCAGCCCGTTGAAATCTCAGTATTTCTGTCTCGAAAAATTGGCTACAAAGAGGTAACAATTGCCCTAATTTTGGGAATCGGGCACAGTTGGTTCAAACAAGATTTAGATTGCTGTTCTTTTTATCATACATAAGAGGTTTCTGACTGAGGACGATTTTTCGAAAATCAAGACAAAAATGAGGACTAGACTGAAGCCCGTACAAACATCTTCAATTCGATTTAGAATGGACAATATTTAAAATTGAGAAATACCGTAGACACAACTCACGTCTTCGTTAGATGGAGCTGCCGCTTCGACTGAAGCGATTTCTTCAGGAGCAGCTGGAAATTGCACAGGATCTGCTGGAGCGGTTTCTTGCTCCCTCTTTTCATCAACAAACGAATCACTCTCCATTTCAACCTGCAAGGCTGGTTTTGGTGAGGAGTCGCTGGTTGCTAGCTGTTTCTCGGAAATATAGTTCGGAAACCAGCCTGCTAATTGGTCTTCTTCTATCAATCCTCCCGAAAGGTTTGGAATAAAATTGATTGCTGTCCTCGGCCGCTCAGTCGACGGTTCACGCGACCTCTCAGATGGGTGAGGTGACACGTGGCGTGAGCCATGCTCGGACAGATAGTTTCCAAACATTATAGTGTGGTATACTTCGAAGAAGAGGTAGTCACAACTAGAGGAAAAATGGGAAAGCGAGCTCTTCTAAGCCTATATACTAAATTTCATCCCAACTTCACCTTCGTCATTCACCATTCCTTGATTTCCCTAGGCGATGAGCTTAGAAGAAGGATATCAGAAGAAGTCGTGTGACTTATTAGGAAAAATTCTACTGTTTTTCAGATTCCACATGGTATCTATAGCATACACTCTGACACCTTCTGGAATTCTCAGAAGGATGACAGAAAAATCGCAAAAACTACTGAAGACAAGGAAGTAGATTTTCAACTCGATGAGGACTAACTTCAGTTGCTTTGTCGTTTTGAAAACTTTGCGAAGAGAGAACTCAAGATTCGGATTGATTTCAAAAAAGAGAAAACTGAATCATGAATAGTGCAGAACGAAATTCCAGACTATTTCAAGCCAACGAAGCTAATCAAATTTTTTCAAGCCGCCTCTCACAGCTGGTTTAACATTCTGAAGAACCTTCAGCAAATTAGCCTCGTCGCAAGTCTTTGCATCAAGGAGCTCCTTTTTGTGAAGCGAGGCCTTTGATCTTAAAAGCTTTTTTAGATTACTGTACTTGGCAGCAACAAAGAAGAAAAATATGTAGTCGTGAAAATTGATCATTAAAAACAATTGAAAAACCAGAAAATAGGCATTAGGATAGACGTCACTATCAATACTCGAGAGCATTGTCTATTTTCAGCAATAATATTACTGATTCTGAAATTACGTCTTCAGTCGTCAGAAGAGGTGCTGTACGATAAACAATTATAGTTTATTTATTTATTTTCATAACGGGAAACAGGGAATCGGAATGTAAACTGAGAAAAAGAGCTTCGTACTTTGAATAAGACTCTCTTCGTGATCTTTTCATGCTGGTGAATGAAAATTTCCTTATTTTAGATTTTTAAATTATAACAACACTGATAATATCGTAAGAACTGTATAAGAAATTCATTTTTGAATAAGGACACCCCTCTGGTGAACCTTAAAACTGAAAAATGATTCATAACTCGTACTTTACAGGATAAGGGATTACGGAGAAAAAAATTATTGAGATAATTACCTCAGAGCTGATCATGGAAATATATTCTAGTTTTAAAAATTGCAAGAATCAGTGAGGATCGAAAGTAAACATTCTACTCTGGTCTGCCGAAAACGGGCGGAGCTTAAGGTCCGGTAATCTTTAAAGGCACATGTAACTTTAATGTACCTTCAAAGTTTAGTTTCGTAATCATTTTCTGGCCTACTTTCTTCAATTTTTGATGACTTTTATCGATTTTTAACATTTTTGAACATTAGTTCAAAACAATTGCATGAAAATCATGAAAAATAAGAAAAAAGAATAAAATAATTACAGAAATCGAATGAGCAAACTTCAAAGGTTCATGAAAATTACATGCGCATTTAAGGATATTGCTACCGTACCTAAACTTCTCCTACACTTGAGTCAGGAGAAAAAAAATCTATAAAACAATAAAACCCCATATTGCATTTTATACCTTCTCAAAAAATCGGAAAACGTTCTCACAGAAAAGAAAACACACCCTCTTTCTGAAAAGTCAAGACTGAAACCAAAACAAGACATTTTGAGTCAATTATCGCTATCAAATTGTGGTGAGAAAGGAGAAAATCAAATTATCATAGCCAAGAGATCCAATCCGGTGTGCCCAAGCAGCTCTTTTGCGGATACGAAAAGAGGTGAGGGAGAAGTAATGCGAAAATAAAAGTGAGATTTTCCTGAAAATCTCGTTTATCCGTGAAAACAGGTGTAAAAGTTAACGAGAAAATATGAGGAGATTGATATAAAATCAGCTGTAAAAGTGATTTCCTATTCTACGGTAGCTGTTGCTCACGCCCACTAAATCTGATTGCTTTTTTGGATAAATTCTTTCAGGCAAAGATCCAGACTAGATAACAATATCGGCTGATTAACATCACAATAGGATGTATTCAGAAGAAATTCTGAGTTTTTTCAAAGAGTTCACTAGTGCTTCAGTGTATGATAACCGTAAAATCAAAAAAGATATCACTTGAATCTCGTGACTTGATATTATCAAAATGAAGGATTGACAACTAAAAAGTTAGACTAGTAGGATTAGATCTTTTGTGTCTATCTCTTTTATATGCAGGTGGTGGAACGCCTGAACACTATTCAATGAAAGGATTCTGGCATATGTATTGGTTTGTGTACCTCGGCAGCCGTCTTGAGTAGTAGATTATGTTGGGAAGTTTGAAATAATTGAAGTTCGGAATAATTGGAAATCGGATGAATATTTTAATTCAAGAAAACTCAACCTATTGAAGTTCTTAGAACAAACTTAGACTATCTGAAAGTTCTCTAGAGGAAAATACCCCAAGTTTTGTACCTAACATTTAACTTCTTTCTTTTTTGTCTAGTTACATCTACAATTATTCGCACACTCTTAGATTACTGAAGCTTAGTGCAAATCACGCAGCAAAGTTCAAAAGTATACACTAGCAGTAACACTAGCAATGATCTTTATTTTGAATACTTACTTTTCCTATCCGATTCTTGAAAAATGAACAATTGTTAAAGACCCGCGAAATTTTGGAAAATGGACCTCACAGAATACCGGACAGGAGCCGTAGTAATATCAAAGAATACGAACGCAGACACCCAAATTTTGTTGTTATCACCCCCGGTTTGTTCGCTGCCCCGAGTGACCACCACTGACTCCGTTTCCCTTCTTCTTTGTTGTTTTTTCTTTCAAACGAAAATCAACAGGCCACACTCTCTTCCTGTCTTCTTTCGTCGTGTCACCACCATTTTTCTCTCACTCTCTAGCACTCGTATTGTTAGAGTGTCTACAGCGAACGCTCGTCGCTGTTTTGTGCAACGATGTCCGAGTGGTTAAGGAGATGGACTTGAAATCCATTGGGATTTTCCCGCGTAGGTTCGATTCCTGCTCGTTGCGTCGACTTTTTGGTTTTTTTTGTTGCGATGAATTAAAACTGAGAATCGTTTTGATTTCTAACTTTGTAAACATCTTAGAAATGTATTGAGTTTTACAAGAAAACAAATTCGAAAATTACAATTCCAAATTTGCTAAGAATAATGGGAACTAAACTTTTGTCATCAGTAAACGCATATAAGGCCAGGTTTCAATAAAA